AGTTGAGGAAACTGGTGGCACACAGTAGTACTTATGTCCACATCTCATATGTCATATGTCATATTCTAGCCACTTAAACTCCGGCCTCCATTCACTTCTAAATTTTAGTTGTCGTTTCGTTCTTTAGTAAACTCATGCTTCGGTAGCCCCTATCTGGATGGGGATAAAACTTAATGTAATATTTGATGGTGACAGAGTAACCTTTTGTGGCCATGGGGCATCAGGCTATGGTTAATGTTGAACCCTGTTTAATATTTGTATTCCTCACTACCAGTGTACATTTCCATATGTTCAAATACTGGCATTCATTTTTGTGAAAACTGTATCCTGATCAACTTTCACCAGCTTCATAATCTTGCCTCATTTCCATTATGCCAAAGCTTCTTTGATTTATTGTGATTTCATAATGGACAGTTGAGTGTTATCAGTGTCAACATCACATCACTCTCTGCCTAATGTCAATCAAATGACACCCACAGGAATAAATAGAAGTTTCTTTCCAGGAAAGAATCCCTTGAGACCAAGTTGCCCAACAAACTTTGTTTTTAAGCACATGTCTCACTTGGGGCATTTTGGTTGTCAAGACAGCTGCCTAACAGCTTGGTGCCATACTGTGAGCAACTGTGATCAGAGCCCAATGATGCATGCATACACCAGACAAGTTTTCATATGACAGGGAGGGCATAGGGATTGGTGCTACCTTGGCTAGAGGTTTGTCCACAATGTGATCATGACACACCTACCTTGTGGCTGCAACTTGTTTCCTTTCTATACCATTTGCCATCTTTAAAGTCTCCTGATGGAAAAATGTATATTGACATCTTATGTCAAACATGGAGCTAGCAGGTGATTTCTAGCTTTAACTCAACAATAATGAGACTTGGCTTCCACAGCCATGCTAGTGGCTTTGTGATGCTGTACTTGAGCTAAACTCTTATGTGAGCATATTAGCATATTATCTGTATGCTAATATGCTCACAATAATAATGCTTGCATGTTGATGTTTAGAAGGTATAATGTTTACCATATGTTAGTTTAATGTGTTAGTGTGATATAACAATTTATTCATACATACAATTTATTTTGAGTTAAACATAATTCATTTGAAAAGCTAATTTCAGTTTGATATCATCACAGTTATTATAGTATCGATTTCCAAAATATGTAATTTCATTAATATTAGTTGTGAATGTATATGAAGACTGGGCATTTAGTGAGTAATACCAAGAAGACGGATGCAGATAGATAATACAGATCCTTGTCTGTGTGGTTTAATGGTTCGTCGATCTGTTGGTAATGCCTCGGGGCTCCAGTAGGGGGATCGCGCTCCTCTTCCTCATTCAATACAGACGAGTGAAGGAAAGAGCTGCTTTGTGTTTTCCT